GGGCCTGCGGGGCCCCGGACCGGGCGGGGCGGCCGCCCGCTGCCCGGCTCCGCTCGCCGCCTGCCCTCGGGCGCCCCCTGCCGCCGCTCCCGCCGCCCGCCGGGGTGGAGCTCGGCCTCGGCGCCGCGCTGGGCCCGGCCCGGTCCGCCTCGGCCCGCGGAGCGCCAGGCTTGGCTGTCATCTGCGGAGCGCTGCGGAAACGCGATCTGCCCCGTCCCGTTGTTAATGACGACCCGCCGGAACCTTCGGTGGCCCGGCCGAACGGGGAAGGCGAGGGGACGGAAATGTCCGGGCTGCGTGTGGGGAGGCTGGGTGGGTCCACGAGGCTTTGGGATGGGGCGACGGCCAGGCCTTCAGCCCGGCCCCGTCCCGCTGTCCGTCCCGCTGTCCGTGCCACCCGTGTGAGGCTGCCCAGAGCCGCTCCTGGTGCCCGCACTGAGACGCGGGGCCCGGGGATGGGGCTGGCAGCATCGTCTGGTTGTTGTGGAAGTGTGTGGCAGGAGGGCAGAAACAGAAGCAGTGCTGTGGCTCTTGAGATCCCTTGCAGCCCCTGCAGTTCTGTCATCAGCAAAACCTGAAATCGAGTTCTTTGATCCTGACAGCAGCGCTTGTCTGTAATGGGGCTCGGTCAGAACAAGGCTGGAAGTTGCTGTAAATACGTAAATAGAGAGCGTGTGAGCGCTGCCTGCTGCTATGTCGGATCATAAGGACAGCCGTGTGCTTGGTGCATCCCATCTCTGTGGATCCTTGATCTGAGTTCACACTGTGCATTCAGGAGGTGTCATGCAAAGGTTCATACGTTCTGGCCAGCAGGATGGGTGGCTGTGCAGCTCACAGACACAGCTGCTGGGCTGGGACAGCAGGAATGTGGCGGGGAGGCAGAGGAACAGGACAGGATCTCTGAGGACAGGGCTGGAAGTGTGTGGCGGAACAGAAGGGGAGATGGAAGGGACAGGAGCAGGTGAATGGAGCCCTCTGGGAGGGAGAGGACAGTGATGGACAGCGGTGTTGCTCATCCCTACAGTCCTGCAGTGGTCAGCACCCATTGCTGTTGTGGGAGGTGCAAGGTGCAGCGAGCTCGTGGCTGTCTGGACCATGCTTCTGCTCGTCAGCTGCTCTGCTGTCCCGTGTGAGGACAGGGAAGGTTAGGATGCTGGGAGAGCATCCTGGGGTTTTGTAACACTATGTCTTATTTCCCCTTTAGGAGAGCCCCACTTTCTGATGAGGAGTCTAAAACCAGCAGCTCCCAGCATTTGGGATCTCAAGAGTTTTGCGTCAGCAGCAGCCTTTCCAAGGTGAGCTCCATTTGTGCCCATCCAGGTCCTCTGGGAAGGCCTTTCTCTGATGGAACAGGTCAGGCAAGAACACCTGCCCTTATGGCTCCTGCAGACCTCCTCTCCTCTTGAGAGGGATGCAGCAACGTGCACAAGGGGCAAGCAGCTCTCCAGGTTAGAAGGAGCATCTGCTGGCCTCTGCCTCCTCAGGTCAGGGCTGGAGAGTAGGTCCTGTTTGCTTTGCTAGGAGCTGCTTCCACGACTTTTCAGGATTGTTTTCTCCCTTCTTGTTGCAGGTGGAGCTCACAGCAGTCAGCAGTGGTGGCAGCAGTGCCCAGGATGCAAGTGGCAAGGTGGAGGAAAAGATTGGACCCAAACTGGAAGAGCAGCCACCTGATCCTAACCCAAGCCCAGAGTGTGTGGGAAAGACTGTGAAGGACGATGTTCAGGGCCCTCTGGCAAACCAGGGGGATGGCAGAGGGCAGGAGCCTGCAGTCCCCCAAGCTGCTGAGCAGGAGAGCAGCAGTGCTGATGTTGCGGGGATGCCTGCAGATCCTCCCAGCGACAAGCAGGCTGACGTTCCTTCCACCTGCTCTGTGGCTCCAGAGAATGAGCCTGCTGGGAAGGAGAAAACCGCCCCAAGCACCGGAGCACAAGGGCCAGCAGTGCTGGCAGAAGGGACGTTATCCGTGGTCGCTTCCAGCTGCAGCACCTCAGCCTCCACCCCTGCAACTTTTACTTTGAGTCGAGTATGCTTTCCCACGTCTCAGGCCCCTGCTATGCACAAAGTGCCCCTGTCCTTTCAGCCTGGGACGGTCCTGAGCCCGAACCAGTCGCTGGTGTACATCCCACCGCCCAGCTGCGGGCAGCCGCTCACCGTGGCCACTCTTCCAAGCACTTTGGGGGTCTCCTCCACGCTCACCCTTCCCGTCCTGCCTTCCTACCTACCTGAGCGTTGTGTGCCAGGCATCATTGCTTCCCCGGAGCTGCGTTCCTACCCCTACACCTTCTCTGTCACCAGACCCTTGGCTTCAGATGCCAAAGTGGTGTCGGTGGAGGTGAATCAGCTTAGCTGCTCTTCGCCCTCAGGTGGAAGCGGTGCCCAGACCGCTGCCGATGGCGCTCCCTCGTCCACAGCTGGCCCTGCCCCGTCGTCCAGCCAGCCTCTGCCGGCAGCACCGTGTGGAAGCGCTGCTCCCTCTTCTGGCACTGGCACACAAGCCAGAGCAGCGGCAGCTCCCGAGCCGCACGCACCAGGGGCGGCGACTTCGCTTTCACCTCTGAAGTCCCCTCCGCAGCTGGAGCGTGAGATGGTCTCCTCCCCGGAGTGCAGCGAGATGCCTCTCGATCTCTCCTCCAAGTCCAATCGCCAGAAGCTGCCTCCACCCAGCCAACGCAAAACCCCTCCGATGCCCATCCTCACCCCTGTGCACACCAGCGGCAAAGCACTTCTCACCACGGTCCTGTCCAAGTCCCAGCGCGCGGCCCAGAGCGCGGGCAGCAGCGTCACCTCGTGTCTCAGCACCACCGCGCCCTTCGTCATCTTCCCCGAGTTCCTGCGGAACAGAGAGCAGGGCTCCTGGGTGAAGAACACCACCCTCATCAGCACCATTCCAGGCACCTACGTCGGCGTTGCCAACCCCGTGCCTGCCTCGCTGCTGCTCAGCAAGGACCCCTGCGTGAGCTTCAGCAGGGACCCCCACCACCTTCCCAAGCAGGAGCCGATTTCCATCATCGATCAGGGAGAGCCCCGAAGTGCTGGGGCTCCCTGCGGGAAGAAAGCCAGCCAGGCGGGCGCAGAGAGACAGCAGGATCCTGCCAAGAGACTGCTTCATGGCAGAGCTGCTCCGGGAGCTCCTTTGTGTCAATCCAAGGACATCTCCACCTGGAATCCTGTCCAGGGGAGCGTGTACCCACGATGCCCTGTGAATGGCAAGCCTTCCAATCCTCAGCTTTTGCCTCTTGGCTGGTCTCCTTATCATCAGACCCCTCTGCTTTCGATCGGCATCTCCACCACGGGGCAGCTGCCCCCAAACCCCAACAGCTCCTGCAAGCCCGCTGGCACAGGTGAGCTCCCCACGTTCCTGAGTGTGCAGCCCACAGAGCCCAGCGCGGCGGCCCAGAGCCTTCCCGAGGGGCTGCCCAGGCTCCCACCTGCGGAGTGCGAAGCTGCATCCAAGAGCAACAAGAGCTGCCGACCCCTGCCCAAACCCGGCGAGGAGCAGGACAGTGCCATCCCTTTGAACACAGGCCCATCTCCTCAAACCAGCACTTTGGATGCAAAAGGAGGAAAGGGGAAGCTGGACAACCCTTCGAAGAGTCAAGAGCATGAGGAACCAGAGGCCGACTCCAGTAAGGAGGGTGTTGTGCAGGCTGAGGCTCCCCAGGGGAGCTGCAGCCTCAAGCAGACGGATGCGAAGCCTAAAAACCAAGTGTTAGCTGCATACCTGTCGCATGACGTGCCCGTGGTCGGGCAGCAGGCCCTGCGGGTGGTTCCAGAGGTGCCTGCAGCACCCGTAGAGAATCAGCACAAGGAGGCAGGCTGTGAAGGCTCCCAGCAGCCTCCAGCTGCAGAGCCCCTCCAGTGCACGCATCAGGTGGATCTATGCAGGGTGAAGAAGGAGCGCGTGGAGAGCGATGTGTCGTTGCCTTCGGTGACTTGCTTGAGAGCTGGGGCTGCTCCCCAGGCCTTGGCAGAGGCCAAGCTCACGGCTGCAGGCCAGGTCAAGCAAGAGAGTGGCACACGCTGCAAGTCCAAGCGGCAGCACGACGGCGATGCCAGGCAGGTGCAAAAGAGACTGAAGTGCAAAGCGCAGGATGGCGAGGAGCCCCTGAGCAAATCAGGGAGCCAGAGTGTGCATGGCCGGAAGGTGGGTGAGGTTGGCTGGAGCTGGGGCTGGGGAGGTCATGGTTGTGAGGCTGGGGGTGAGGCGGGAGCTCTGCTGGGCGAGGACAGCTGAGAGCACAGGGCTTTCTACCCATGCTTTGGCGTTGTCTTGCAGTGGATGAAAGTCTGAAACATCTGGATCTGTATGGAACAGAACAAAATGGATCCGGGGTGTCAAAAATGCTGGAGGGCACCAGCATTATGAGTGGGGGGTGGTCTTTTGTCCCTTCTTTGCTCCTCCAGCACTGTTAGTCATAACTCAAGCTTCAGTCTGTGTCCTCCATCCACAGTGGCGGAAACACCACGACAACCTGCACGAGCTCAGCAAGCGAGAGGGCCGAAGTGGCCTGGGATCAGTGAGTGATCACAACAGCCTCAGGGTAAAGCGTAAGCGCAGGAAGCCGACGAAGACAGAGTTCCCTTCTCCCGAGCACCGTGGGGACAGCCACGAGGAAGGTACTGCTGTCAAAGGCAATGTGTTCTCATGGGGTTGTGGCAGTTTGGGTTGTGCTAGTGCTGCGGGGCCGAGCTGTTGTTGTCCAGAAGCTGAACGGCCTCTGGAGCTGGTGGCTTCCCACTGCAAACCGGGATCCTAGCAGAGCTTTCCAGGGCAGCAGACATGTGAGCAGAGATGTGTGACGTACTTCTCAAAGGGTGCTTTTCCCCACAGGTTACCTTGAGAAGAAGCCCAAGAACAACTTCCGGGACTTCATCCCGGTGGTGCTGAGCAGTCGGACGCGCAGCCAGTCGGGTGAGTTGATGCCAAGCTCTGGGATCGTCCTGCCAGCACAACTGGGTGCTTCACTCCTGGGTGCACTGTGAGCTTTTCCCTCTTCGTGTGGCTCTGTGCCCATTTTCTGTCCTGCCTGGCGGGGATTTTCCTGTAGGTGGCTTCTTGCCATTCTTGACACTTGTTTCCACTTTTGTGCAGGAAGCGTTGCCGGCTCTTCTGCTAGCGCGATGGGAGAGTGTGATGTGAGCGGTCAGGATATTTTACCTTTGCTGGAGGAGGATGAGGAAGAAGAGGAGGAGGAAGAGGAGGAAGAGGAGGAAGAGATATCCTTGAAACGTCGCAAGCTGCGGAAATCCCACCAGGCATCGCGTTATCACAGCCACAGGGCCAGGGACAGGTCTGTGTCCGAGAGGAGCAGCTGTCACGCGAGGAGGAGCCGGGAGCTGCCCTGGAGAGTGGACGCACCCAGGCAGCTGTGGGAGCCCAACGAGGAGGAGGAGGATGACAGCCACATCAAAAGAAAGAAAAGGAGACGACAGAAAAGCCGGAGATACCAGACTGGGGAATATCTGACCGAAAGGGAGGAAGAACGGGTGGGCTTCCCTCACAGGAGGCGAAAATCCAAAGCAGGTATGATAGCTATGGGCTGGGAAGGGATTTCTGGTGCCAGGTCGTGGCCCAAGGCTTTCACTTTTATTCCCTCTAAAGCATGATGGGGTTTTGTCACTGCAGTAGGGACAGTGATGTTGACGTGCACACTCTGGGATGCTCCATAGATCAGCCAGGCTTTCTGCAGTTCGTTTATGGGCCTCGTGGCCGTGAGTTTCAGTCAATCCTTTCTGATCCCGCTGATGGCAACTGCCTCCACCACCTCTGGGTGGCAGCAAAGCCCTGAACTTCCCCCCTTGCTGTGCAGAGCGCTTCTTCCTTCCGTGTGTTTTTTAACTGCTCTCTTACTCATTTCATCCAGTGCCCTTAAGTCTCGACAGGATGGAGTGAACGAGGTTCCTCTATTCAGCTGCTGCACCCTTTTGTGGGTGTTTTTGTTGTTTTTTTTGCAAGCTTCAGTCGTGTCCTTTCAACCATCTCCTCACCAGCCCATAGTGTCCTTGCTATGGGGTGTTGCTATTTTAGTGAAGCAGAGTGCGTGTCCTTGTGTGGTGTGTTGGGTTCTGCAGCTCTGTGTAATGAAAGCAAGAAAGGTTTGGATTTCCCCCAAGGCATCCTGGTGCTTCCCACCTGCCTGCAAGTCAAACTGAAACTTTAAAGTGCTACTGCAGTTAAGGGGGAGACATGAGAAGGTGAGGCAGGGTCTGCTTTTGTAGGCAGCAGAGCAGTGACTGTTCACGGGTGCCTGGATGTCCTGTCTGTCCAGAGGGGATCCCACATGAGTCCCACTTGGCCCTGGAGATAGGAGGGGATGCACTGTGTGGCAGCATGCAGTTACTAGGCCACTGGGAAGCAGGCTGGGTTCCTTGACTGTTAGAGCTAATGAGAAACCCTCATGAGTCATGTGCAAATCCCAGAGCTTGGTAGGCTTGATCTTTCCAGACCGTGCTGTTGTATTTCATGTGCCCACGATGGAGAAAATTTCCATATTCATTGCTGGTGACTCTCTACCATGGGTCTGTGTTTCTGGGTGTGCAGCCAGCAGAGAGCTGAGGTTTGGTTTGACTGGTGGCAAAGGTGTCCTTTACCTACAGAATTTCCTCATTCCCATCTCTCCTGCAGATTTTAGGTACCGAAAGCAGAAGGAGTCAGCGCAGGGTAAAAGCACAGAGCTGAGGCTGAGGAGCAGGCTTTCCCCATCCCCCCGCAAATCCCAAGGACGCCCAGACTTTCGGAACGGCTTCTTCTTGGAGCACTCAGACAGCTCTCCTGTCCAGGAAGAGCTGGAGAAACCATCAGGAAAACGCAAATGTAAAACCAAACACCTGGCAGGGATCTGTGATGAGGGGAAGGTACGGCTTGGATCGACAAGGGGAACGTGGGTGGGGAGAAACGAGAGTGACTCCCATCATGTCAGCAAGCCAGGTCAACGTGTGCCAAGGTTGCACTGCTTTGTTTTCCAGGTGAAAGGACGCTGGAGCCAGCCCAAAACGCACTCTCCGAAGAAGCCCCAGGACTCGTGGCCTCTTTGTAAATCCCATCGTGTCAGCCCAGGGAGCTCCCCTGAGTTGCCTGCAGCCCAGCACATTCCTCCTGAGGCACGGCGGCTGATAGTGAACAAAAATGCAGGGGAGACCCTCCTGCAGCGAGCAGCTCGCCTGGGCTACAAGGTGAGCCTCGGTGCTGCCGCTCGCCTCGCGTCCTGTGCTGCCTTGCTTTGGTCTGTGTGTGACCAAGGCTCCAATGCTCTTGTTTCTGTAGGACGTGGTGCTCTATTGCCTGCAGAAAAAGAACAGTGATGTGAACCATCGTGACAACGCTGGCTACACGGCTCTGCACGAGGCCTGTGCGCGAGGCTGGATCGACATCCTGCACATCCTGCTGGAGCACGGCGCCAACGTGAACTGCAGCGCGCAGGATGGCACGAGGCAAGCCAGGAACACGGGGCAGTGAGCATGGCTTGTACAGTGGAAGTGCTAATTGAGGGCCTGAAGCAGTGATGGAGCACCTGGCAGGAAGGCAGGGCCAGCCTAGGGGAGCTCAGGTGCATGCAATGCACTGAGTGATGGAAGGGATGGAGCCAGGATCCACCCCTGCCCAGCCCTCATTTAAGGGTTGGTGGTGGAAGTGAGGGCATCTCTTGCTGGAGATCCCTGCCTACCTGAGGCCTTCCAAATGTAAGCAGCTCTTTTCCTTTGTTTCTGCATCTGTGGCTGCTGCATTTGGGCTTGTTCTCGTTTGCTTTAGCCAAAGACTTTGCCACCCTGCTATTATCATCCCGTTATAGCATTACTTTTTGGGAAGAGCTGGTGGTCATCACTAGATCTGTCTTATCCCAGAACAGGTTCTTTGCTATCCCTCTCTTCCGCTCTCTTTCTGCTAACATTCTTGTCCTTACAGGCCTGTCCATGACGCAGTAGCCAATGACAACCTGGAAACCATGTGGCTTCTCCTCTCCTACGGTGCTGACCCCACTCTGGCCACTTACTCCGGGCAGACAGCTGTGAAGCTTGCCACCAGCGACGTGATGAAGCGCTTCCTCTGTGGTGGGTGCCTGGGGGTGGCTGCGTTTCCATCCTTCCTGTGTGGCAGCACACAGGACCACAGATCCGGGTGTCAGAGGGTTTAAAAGTGCTGAGCAGCCAATGACTGAGTGATTTTTAGCTCCGTCCTGTGTGTGTGGTTGGTTTTTTTTTTTATTTTTTACCACCCAATGTCTCCAGACTAGCATCACACTTCCCAATTAAGATTCAAGTGTTTTTGTTCTCTAATGTACAGGCAGTGCTCTGGTCACGTGCCTGAAGTCAGCAGGAGGGTTGGAGATGCTGTTCAGCAGCATCACTTTCTGGTCCTACAGCATAACCCCAAAAGATAAACTTCTGTTGCCACACAGTGCTGCCATCCGCTCTAAAATGGCTCTGCCTATGGGGAGGGCCAACTCTGATGACTGGCTGAGGGTGAAGCATGCCCACTTTCTGTACTGTTTAAGTAGAAATGAGAGGAGTGTCCTGGCTTCTTCGTAACAGTGAGGCAAAGACAATTAGAGGAGATGGTGGTTCCCAGGTAGATAGGAGACAGAAAATCTCCTGTTTCTGAAAAGTCTTGTTGGCCACATAGCTGTCAGGGCTCCTCCAGACTTAACTGTGTGTGCACCGGTTGTGGATGCGATCTTGAGTGTAAGAAGACCCTAAGAATCTTGCTTTCCAACCCACACAGTGCTATCAGTTGCTTTTCCCCATTGGCTTCTACTTCGTGTTCTCAGGTCAGGGCTGTGCTGCCTTCTCCTGAGCGAGGGTGCCCTTCTTGCAAGCGGGTTGTGGTTCAGATTCTGCCGTGATGCCTGACGTTGCAGCAGAGAAAAGGAGCAGCAGAGATGGCGTGGCTTACTGAGGATCAATGGATGTGTATGCCAGGACTGTGGTGTGGCCAGTAGAGAAGCATTAACCCTCTCAATTCTTCCTCTTTAGATTACCTTTCGGATCTCCAGGGGCGCACTGACGGGGATCCTCGAACAGCGTGGGACTTCTACAGCAGCTCTGTACTCGGTGAGTTCAGCCAACCTGATTTCATTTGCAGCAGCAGAGCAGGGAGAAGCAGGTCTGTGAGATGTAACGCATCGTCCCCTCAGTTCTGTCAGCTTCCCTTCCAAGTCACATCTTAGATACCTTGCCACAGTGCTACACACTGAGGGTTCCCACTGCTCCCAGAAGGGACTCTTTCTTTGGTAAGATGCATCTGTGGATCTTTCTGGACTGTTGTCCCACGTGCTTTGAGGGAGACAACTTGAGGACTGTGTGATCAGAGGGCTGGGGCAGCTATCCTGTGAGGACAGGTTGTTGGAACAGTTGGGTTCCTTCAGCTTGGAAAGAGAAGGCTCTGGGGAGCTCTCATTGCAGCCTTCCAGTATCTAAAGGGGCTTTCAGTTCTTCCAAGTGTCCCTTCCCATTACATGTCACTGAGAGTGGGGGAGAAACTCTAGGCCACTGCTCAATCCATTTCTATTCTTCGAGGCAGGAAAGCTGCCCACAGTTTCCCTTAGGTCTGAGCATCTAATGTGGGGCCAAAAGATAATGAGAGAAATGAGAGTGTGAGATCTGTGAGGGCTGGGTATGGGAGGCTCATCAGCCTGATGCCCTTTGTGCTCGTGCAGCTCTAGAAACAAAGTGCCACTCCAGGGTTTCTTCTGCATTTGGGACTAGCATTGCTGGGCCTGATTATCTCTGCCTTACAGTGGATGCAATGGCCTTGTTTGTGAGTAGCTCTCACATGGCTAACAGACAGGGCTGAGATGTTGGGCCACGTTTACTCCACGTGGAACGCATTCAGTTCTTTTTCCTGGGTTGCTCAAGAAATGTTTGTGTTGTTTCTTTATTCAGCCGTGGTATTTCAGCTTTGCCCAGCAGTGATCTCAGACCAACATTCTCATCCCTTACCTTTGCCCCTTTCTGCAGTAACTCTTGAAGATTTAAGCAGCCTGTTTGAACGCACGCCTCCTGCCACCTGCTGTTGTTTCCCTATTAACATTCTTGCTTGGTGCAGTGCATGGATTTTTCCTGGGCAGCACACCTTAAGATTTTTTTTCTCCAGCCTTTTCTTCCATGCATCGTGGTGTTGAGTTTTTTATTTTTATTTTATTCTGCACAAATGGTTTATTTGTTTCTCAGCACATTTCATCTGCTTTTCTCTATGGGATCTCATCTGTATTATATTCTGGAAGTTTTTGGAGGCACATTAACTCGGCAGGACAAAAACAAGCCAGGGTTTCTACAAGCCAGAAATCTATGGGGTGATGCTCAGCAGTCATGCTTCTTGTTGTTCTGTTGCATTTGTGTTCAGGTCTGCTGTGCAGTTGGGTAGCACAGCCTGGCAGCCCATATTTAGACACAGTTCCTGGCACGCACCTCGATAACCTGCTGGCAGTTGTTGAGAGCTGGGAGCTGGGTGGTCAGCAAGGAGAGAGCAGTGCCTTCCTTTATGGGATCTGTGCAGACAGAGCACCTCCTCCATTCTTCTCGAGTGGTGCAGCTTCTCCCAGGCTGCACAGGAGTGGAAGCGTCTCATTCTGCAAGCAGGCGGCGCTTTGTCTCACACTGGGATCGGTGCCATCCTGCTCTCGGTGTGAGATGTTCTTCCTACCCTGCCTGCTCACCAAGGGCAGTTTTCAGGCGGCTCTCTGTGTTTCTCGGAGATGAGGGGCTGCTGGAAGGAGAGCAGCAGGATGCTGGGGCTCAGTGATTGGATTCATTGCAGGGCTGTAGGGGCAGCCGGTCTGGTTGGGCAGAGCTGCTCCCCGCGGGGTGATGGAGTGAAAGTGTGAGCAGCACCAACATCTGTTTTTTTTTCTTGTTGCAGAGGGAAAAGACAGCATTGGATGCGATCTTCTGCTCAACCCTCCAGGGAGTTCAGACCAGGAGGAAGAGGAACAGGAACCTGACAACTTCATGTTTGAGTTCTCAGACAAGCCACTGCTGCCCAGCTACAACCTCCAAGTGTCCGTCTCTCGGGGGTGGGTATCTTCTGGAATGGAGAGCGTTTGAGTGACATTAATGCTGCACTGGAGGGGTAGGGTGGGAGGTGCTCATGAGCCTGGAGATTGCCCTCCAGGTTGGAGTTGATATGAAATGTTCTTGTATTGAAAAAACATGCATGCTTGAGGAACTCTTGAGAGCCCAAAGTAACTGCTGGCCAAGGAGACAGGCAGGACAGTGTTTCACGTGGTCACATTTTGCCCTGTACATTTCAAACCACTTTCCCAGGGGAGAAAAACACCATCATCCTTATTCTGAAGGTAGAGGCACAGAGTCGTGGCTGTAGGGCAGCTTTCCTCATAGCAGAAAATAGCTGCCGACGGGGCACTTTTTGTGGCTCTCTCTGTCTTATAGCACCCCATAATGAAGCACAACATGCTTACTTTTAGAAAAATGTTGAGGATAGAAACCACTCTTGCTAAGCCCTGTGTCAGTGAAGCAAGTGGAAGACACCAAGGTGTGATTTGATTCTCAGAGTTCCGTCCCTGAGGCAGTCAGCTTGGAAAAGAATTCGTAGTGGGATTCATTTGGCCGTGGGCAGGAAGGGAGTGTTGGGCTGAGATGAACCACTGCGTGCAGCCCTGCAGTGGCTGCGGTGCTGGGGGCCTGCCTTAAGTTGGCTCTCCTGTGGCGTAGATGTGCTTTGAGGAGCCCCAGCTTGGGATTCACAGGCAGCTAAAAGCCGTGCTGCGGCTCCTGCTGGCTTGGAGTGCTGCTGGTGCATTCCCTAATGTGTGACCTTGCTATCCTTGCAGGCCCTGCAACTGGTTCCTCTTCTCCGATGTGCTGAAGCGGCTGAAGCTGTCCTCCCGCATCTTCCAGGCCCGCTTCCCACACTTTGAGATTGCCACGTTGCCCAGGGCTGAGTTCCAACGCCAGGTGGCCCTCAGCCAGGTGCTGGCCCAGGACGAGGTGCAGGAGAGCCCCGAGCCGGCGCAGGGTGCTGCAGAGACAGTGGAGCTGGTGCACTATGAGCCCGAGCTGCTGCAGCTGCTGGGCTCCGCGGTGGAATACGAGGCGTGGAGCAGCTGACGGGGGGCAGATCGCTCCCTGCATCGTGAGGCAATAATAAGGACCAATGGGAAGCAGCCCTCTTGGAGCCAGCAGCAAGGACCTGAGGCTTCGGCCAGCTGATCTCCTCCTCCCGGCGGTGCCTCGGTGCTGGCTGGGGGGAGAGGACGCTGCCTCCAAGGACTTCCTGGGGTTTCTTTGTGCTGAGCGGCGGCGGTCGCGGCTCTGGCAGCCCCATCCAGCAGCAGCAGAGGGAGGTGGGCCCTCTGTGGGGCGGCGTGGGGCAGCGATCGGCTCAAGCTCTTCTGCAGCGTGGGGCAATGGGTGCCATCGCCCCTCCCCGCCCGACCCCGTGGAACTGCACCTCTCTGTCTGCCCTCCACCCCCACCCCCGATGTCTTCCATAGTATTTATTTAATTAGTATTTAATTTGTTACGTTTCCTTTTGTTTTTGCAGTCTGTATCACTGTGATTATGTGAGCTCCGGGCTATGGGACGAGGGCTTCCTCCGGCCCCTCTGCAGCACTCCCCAGGGCCTGCGCTCCCCTGGAGCACCACCCCGAGCTGCAGAACTGGGGTCTGTGGCTTTGGCACCTCGGCTGAGAGCCTGGGGACGGTCCCATCTCTTAGCATTGGAGCTGGCTTCTGCTGAAGGCACTCTCACCCGCTCTGCTCCATCCTCACCAGGCTCCATCCTGCGTTTTGGCCACGCTGCTGCTCCCTGCCCCCAGCAGCTGTCACAGAGGCAGCCCACACTTCCAGCAGCCCAGCCCCCCCCGGGGTCTCTCTCCTCTTGCCCTGCACGGTGTCTGCTCAGCCTTTGCCCCTCCTGTGTCGTTGGGAGCAGTTCTACCGGAGAGAGCAAGGCACAGGGCAGGGCTGCTGCGCTCCCGGTAGATGGTACAGTTTTATTGTACAGGTGCTAACAGGACTCTGAGGATGGGACAATCTGTTTTTTTGGTTTGGGTTTTTTTTTTCCTGTCTCTCCTCTGCTCAGCAGTGGGAGCACTGGGTGTTTGGTTTCTTTTTTTGGGTTCATTTTTTTGTTTTGTTTTGTGTTGTGTTTCTTCCCAGCCAGGGCAGGTGTACCTTTCCCCCCTTGGACTCCCAGCTGCTGGCCTCCCCTCACTGGGGTCTGGCCACTCCTTTTTTAAGCCGAGGATTTTTGCCTTTGGGTGTGTTATTCTGGCTGCTCTTTCTGATTTCTGTTTTATTATAAGCAACAGGCTGTGGTGTCAAAAACACTTATGTACAGAAAAAAACCTGCATCAGGCCCCCTGTCTCTTGCCTCTTCTTCTTTGTACGGTGCCTGCTGTGCCCAGCAGAGCCGCGGGGCTGCAGTGGAGGGAGGGACTCCAGCTGCCTCCCATCAGCCAGGGGCCTGAGGCTGAGGAGGGGGCTGTGCTGTTGGTGGTGTGAGGGCTGGGGGAGGTCTCCATGCCTGCTGTTCTCTGGCCCTGCAGCTCTGGGGGGAGTGGCAGCACTGCAGGAGGTGTGCTGGCAGTGGCATGCTGCTGCCAGCAGGACGAGCCCCAGGACTGCAGCAGTCCCTCACTAACCTGTATAGGACTGCAACGTGTGCTGTAGCTCCTCACCTGGGTGAGAGCAGCTGCATTCGCTTCCCTGGGACTTGCCAGGGGCAGGAGGAAGATGCAGCAGATCTGCTGCCAGCCGGGCTGCCCTCCCCCTGTGCCCGCATCTGGACAGCGTGGTTTGCCAGCTCCCCTTTCTCATCATCACCCTGTGCCAAAACAAAGAACTCGGAGAGGGAGCGGGGATCTCGTGGTGAACAAACCCAGCCTGAAGAAACAACGTTTCTTGGCTTTCACTTGGGTTTTCTCCTGGCTCTCCATGGATGCAGATACTGGCCTCGTGCTGCCCTTCGGACTTGGCTGAGCCCAGCCTGAAGCTGTGGTGAGAGCAGTGGTTCCCTGGTGCCCCTCCCTGAGGCCTGGAGAAAATAGTGGAGGAGCTCCTGAGCTTTCTGAAGACAGTCAGGCTGGCACCTAAACAAACTGCAGGCCCATTCCAATCCCTGTCATCAAGGCCCTGTCCAGGTGAGCCTTCAGCCTTAGACCCAGTAAGGTTCTCCATCACTTCTGTCCAGTTGCTGATCAGACTGCAGAACAGGAGACCAAGGGGGGCAGGAATGCCTTCACAGTGCAGTGAAAGGAAAGCTTGGGCTGTGCCCCACCAGCCTGAGGGGTACAGCACTGCACGTGGCATCGTTCATAGGGGAACAACAGAGCAGCAAAGGGCAGCCTCAAAAATTGAGAGGGTTGATGCTTCATTTCTGTGCTCCCATCCCAACACCAGGTGAGGTTCCACGCTTGCCCAGTGTGATACAAGGTGGTGCAAGTATGAATCAAACAGGACAATTCAACAGCAGCACTGAAACTTTTAGGGTCCCTGACTCAAATCACAGACAGAAGGAGGGGAAGTGAGCTGGAGGGTCTTCAGGCAGCCTTAGTGTAGCAGGTTGTAACTTAGCTGCTCCAAGGACTATTTCATCCCATCAGGGCAGAATTTGTTACCACGAGCACAGCCCTCCACCCAGTCAGGACAGAAAGCTCACCAGCCACACAGTGCTGTGAGAAAACAACACCTCTGCAGGCTTCTCTGGTGTTGATAAGAGGGAAAAACTACCAGCAGCAGCACGCCACAGGCTGCCCTTTCAAAACCAGCAATGCAACAAGTGCAGGAAGGAGGCACTTAACTTAGAAGAGTCTGATTTTATTGGTGAAATATTAGAATTCTGGGTGATGGGAAATATTCACAAGTGCTCAAAGCAAGCTCTCCAAACGGAAGGGACAAACACAGCCCTACTCACTCCTCCTATTGCAGTGATCCTGGAGTTTAGTCTTCGTGGATGTTGAAAAGCTTTGCTACTTCATTGAGATCAGCATGCTCCTCCCCATCTTTGATGATCTGAAAGAAGGAATCGTGCATTCAAACTCGTATGTCCTATACACAATACGGTGGGATGCACTGACCCTGGGGTCCCCTGCCAAGCAGGCTTTGCATCTCTGATCCCCACCCTCTGGCTTGGCCCTTCAGCCACTTTGCAGTGCACCTCCCTGCTCACCCAGCCCCGGCTGCATCAGTTTGTTTGTGAGGAGAGGTCCAGTGTCATAAGTCGTAATCCAGTCCAGAAAGACAATATCCACTGCTCTCCTCTCATTCATCATGCTGGTAATTTCATGCTAGAACAACATCTGCCTTTATGTATCCTCATTATCTACTGATAGATTGATTTTTCCACAAGAAAGTGCTGGATCTAAGCAAGCTGAATGCCACAGCCCCCTGCTTCAGCATACTCGTCCTCTACTGACCTTTCGAGCAATAGGCATCCTGTTGAAGATGTTCCATAACACAATTCCCACCACCACTTTATCCCTGAGGTAGAAAATGACCCCTTTGCCATAATCTTCTCCTTCTTTTGGAACTTGAGGCGTTGGTGAAGAGCTTGGAGAAATGGGAACTTCTGAGGCTTCTGCTTCTGTTTCGCTTTCTGATCGAATACCTGTCCCTAAGGCAAAGATGGGAGACATCAAACATCCAGTGCAGAAAAAAGGAGGAGCTCTCTGTGCTGGGGAAAGCAGGACAGGCAGATGGCTTCTGTAAAAGATTTAGGTGTGCTTTCTTTGTGTCCAGCAAAAGCTTCTGTAACACAATAAAGAAGCAACCCTAACACAAAGCACAACTCTGACAGCTTCCAGCTTCCACAGCCAAGCACACCACAGAATCACAGGATGGTTTGGGTTCAAAGAGACCTTCAAAGATCAACTGCTTCCAACCCCACACCATGGGAACGGCCATCCAACCCGGCCCTGGGCACCTCCAGGGATGGGGCACACATAACTTCTCTGGACAAGCTGTGCCAGTACCTCATCACCCCCCAAGGAAAGAGTTTCCTCCTTGTACCTCATCTAAACCTCCCCTCTTAATATGGTAAATAAACTGCATTTTGCCCCAGTGAAACATTATGTTTTTAACCACATTTTAACATCAAAACCAGCATTGAAAGCTTGGTCTAGAATAGAGCACACAGGTGAGACCAGATCCTCCCTGCGGCCGCACAGAGCCGGCCACAAAAGCCTCCATGCAGGCACACAGCTCCCAAGGAAGGCCAGGAACCCACCTGACTGCTCTGTTGCAGATTTTGGTGTGTCTTTTGCTGTTGCTTTAGCAAAGACCCCGACTGTAGGCAAGGTACTGTCGACGAGGCCGATTGCTTCATAGCCCACATCAGGACCCAGATCGCTCCTAGGAATTAACAACAAAGCTCATCTGTAGGAACAGCATCGCAAACACGCAGCAAACCCAAATCCTCCTGACAGCGTTGCGTAAGGAGGAATCAGGACAGTGCATCCATCACAGAAGCAACCAGTTTAACCAACGGGGAACTCAAAACGTGTCAGATTTCTCCTTGAAGGAAGCCAGGCTGCTTCCATGAGCTGTGTGCACCTTCACCCTTTAGGAAGTTACACACCTAAGCTCAGGACCCAGATAGGGGCACCAGGACACAACCAGTAGGTACACAATTAGTGGGAAGTGGCAGAAATCTTCTGTGCTGTTCAGTGAGTGCCAATGAAACTTGCAGAGCTGGGGCAGAAGCAAGTGCTTCTCTGGGTTCCAGATGAGGCCACCTGATCAGAGGGTGTGTGGGAGCTGCTGAATCACGGCCTGAACCTTGGATTGAGCACTGAGTCAGCCCTGGGAGCACAGGTGAAGGCATTCTGTGCTACTGGAAGGGATGGAGCCTGGCTGCACCTCTCCTAGACCCCATTTAAGAGCTGACTGCCAGGGGGGAAGGATCTCTGCTGGAGATTGCTCCTCTTGGAGTCTTCTCAGTGAGCCCTAAGGTAAGCTTTCCATCTGTTCTTCTTTAGTGTGATGACCTGTTTAGCCTGACTTTCCTGTGTATTTCTTAATTATAACATTGGTACATCCATGGGTTATCCAAATGCCTCGTCCTTCTGAGTTAGAACCATGGAGCTCTGCAGGAATTCTGAGCACTGGGAAAAACGTTTAAGGATTTCCTGCTGTTTGGCAGCTTTTTAGCACAGGAACAGGACATCTGAGCCAGCAAAGGCTGGCAGGCTTTCACTTCACACCTGCCAGCCACACTTGAGGCTGCAGCTCACAGCCCCCAGTCTCACAGAGCACCTCCCAGGAAAACACACAGTCAAAAGGTGCTTCAGTATCCTCATTCAACAGCTGAGTAATAAATGCTCTGTGTGCAGAGCCCATGTGGCACAGACCCAGAGTTCAGACACGTGATGAGGAGTCGTAAGGGATTCTTTTTGGAGGGGTTCTTCCCCAAGGAGCAAAAGCTCTTTTCCCACATTTAAACTTGTGCTCGCTCTACTTCTGGTGCATTCTGACCAATTTTTGCCCTCTTTTTAAAGAATTTAAAAGAAAATGCTTTGTTTTCTTCATTCCTTACAAATGCTTTCAAAAACAGGCCTGGGTACACTGCTGTGTTGCTACCAAGGCACCAGTGGAGCTAATCAGCAAAGGTTCACCAGAACTGAAACCAACAGATTGTGCTGGGGAGTTCCCAATAATTCTAACAGAAGTTGTGAAGTTCAGGGTGCAGATCAACCTGCTTGAAGAAAGGGGCAGCTATTTCTTTGCTTCTTGCAATTATACACAATTGGGGAGAAACTGGATTCTGCAGGGGCAAAGAATAGCTTAGAGAAGGCAGGGCAGTGAAAGCTCACGTGTGCTCCAGTTCCCTGAGACTCTGCAAATAAGCTGCACAGGTATTTGCTTTGCATTCATTGCAGCCTGAAAACAGGAAGCTTTACAAGGTATATCTTGTCAGAGCTCCTAACAGCATGGTCAAATAAGCAGCTTTACAAGCACTCAGCATTACCAGAACATAGACTGATGCCAGTAGGGCTTTGCAGCTCCCGTCATGTTCTCTCCAGCTAGTCTGCCACTCACAACAGCGTGATCGTGGTGCTCTACACGTCTTCTACCTAGTTTGATATCATAGAAGCAAGCAGCATCCCCAGCCTTAAAGAGAAATTCATTCAGTGATGACTGAACACAGACATCAAAAGCCCAAATTAACACACAAAAGAGAAGAGGCACTGGGACAAAGATGACTGAGACAAGGAAGTGAGTTGTTCTGCCAGCCCCCTCTCCTTCACACCTTCTTCCATTTCCCAGGCTATTCCAGCTCTATCTTCTCAACATCTTTCACTGAGCTGCAGAAAATTAAGGCAGCATCAGGTATGTGCTTGGTTTGTTTGTTTTTTTTTTTCCAGAGGAATCA